AAATATTATTATTATCATATAAAAAAATATGAGGTTTTTCATTTTTGTTTTAAAAAAAAGGCACGTCTAAGGCTCTGCTATTATAACAATAATAATAATGATAATTAAAGCAAAATCATCAATTCTAAGCTGTTTTCTTTTTGTTTTTGTTTCGATTTAAACCACAAAAAGAAAAAAATGTAAGTTTGGTGACGTAACACGTTAGTATTTTTTTTTTTTTTTACAATGAATCTAATAGAGAATCTAACATATCCAATTGAGAATCATCCCAACCCACGCTTGCCAATAACATACTCGTTATTTCATCTTCTCCTAAACTAACGACAGGAGGATTAACAGGTTCCACCATGACGGGTTGTTCGATGTCGTCAATAAATTCATCCGTAACTTGTTTCACAGCGTTCGTGACTTCATTTTCCATTTGCGACGTTATTTCTTTATTATTAATCGTTTTACATTTGTTCTCATGCGTTCCCCCCGAGTTTTTCTTTATTTTTCTCTTGTTTTTCCTTCCCTCTTCTAATATTTTTATATCCAAACGCCAAAAACCTCCTTTTCCAGGTTCGTTTTTAGATCTTGGAATTTTAACGAAACATTTATTCAACGATAAATTGTGACGAATCGAATTCTGTATATTTAAAAAGAGAAAAAGGTTAATTTGTTTTCCCTCACCCCCCCCCGAATATTTTTATTAATTTATTTAAACTTACCTGCCAACTTGGATCGGCATTTCTGTAGTACATAAAATTTTCTTTTATCCAATTATAAATAGCTGCTAATGTCATTTTGTTATTGTTTGCTCTCATCGCCATGCAAATTAACGTGGCATAAGAAATGGGAGGTTTTTTATCACCGTTCGTCCTGTAATTTTCCATTGTTTCCGGAGAGAGGAGAGTATCTGGAAAAAAAATTTATCAAAAGTTATTATTATTATTATTGTTTTTTTTTTTTTTCCCATAAAATTAATATATCATCATCGTTATTAATTGTCACGTGATTGTAAAAATTGAAAAACTTTACCATATTGTAGCCTGAGTGAGAATGAATTAGGTTTTTTACAATTGTTTTTTTGAAATGTTGGAGAAGACGGAGGGGTTGGCAACGAAGGTACGCTAACTATATTTAACTTATGTAACCAATTTAAACTAGTTAAATCTTTGTCGGCATAATTTGGTTTCGGCGGTTTAGTAGTTTCTATTTTTAATATCTGTATATTTTCACAAAATAAATTCGGCTCCCTTTTTAATTTCCCATCGGTAAATCCTTTATTAAAATTTTTATTATTATCACGTTCGTTTGCGTCTTTGATTTTTTTTTTCGGCGAATAAGGAGTCATCGAAGGGTTTGGCCTTTTGCAGGCATTCACGGGTAAAGGCACGGATTCATCGTTCAAATCATTATTTTTAGGTTCGATCAATAAATTTTTCAATATGCAATTTAAAGATCCTTCTTCTTTTAAATTGTCACTTTCCTCGTCACCATCATCATCATCTTCGTCTTTTCCTCCTCCTCCTTCTTCTCTTTCTTTATAATCGTCTACGGATAAATAATTATTACTTTCGCACGTTGTTACTTTCATTTCTTCGTCGAGGTATTTGTTCATTTCGTTGACTTCTGCCATTTCGGAGTAATCGTCATTCGTCACTTGATTGAAAACGTTAAAATTATCATCATTATCTAAATTATCAAAACAACAACCCATGAACTCATCGTCAACTTGTCTATCATTGTCTATCACAGTTATGGAAAAATGAGTTTGATCGTATGACGAAGTTTTATTAATGCTGTCGAATTTTCCCATCGTCAAATCCGAAACTCCTAATTCGTTTGATATAATTATTTGTTCATTTTCGTAAAATTGATCAGCAGATTCTAATATTATCATCGGGGCAATGTCGTTAAATTTTTCTCTCGTATCCGAATTAATCGATAGCCCCATTTTAATTAATTGTTTATCCGTATGTAGAGTAACACTATCCGTTGTCATTATGCAATTGTCATTTTATTATTTTAACCTCGTCGTTTCCACTTTTTCTTTAACATTCATTTTTTTTTTCTTTTTTCTTATTAAAATATTACCGTGAAAAATTTATCGACCTGGAAAAACAAAAAAAAAATAATAATAATAATTATGTGAAAAAATTGAGTTTTATTACTGTTACTATATTGATTCGGGAGAAAAGAGGAAAACTATTTGTAGCATGATGACAAGGTAAAGGGAGAAATTTTCGGGATCTTCTGGATCTCCTTTTACATTCAGTTCAGCTTAAGGTATTAAATAAATAATTTTGTAAATGCGCAAACGTTGAATATAAAACATATCGGACAAGGGAGTTTTGAAATATATGTGAGATGGAAATAGGCGAATATAATTTTTTCTCATTGGTCAACAGCCATTTGTAGGGCGTTGCAGACTTTCAGCTAAATCTTCCATCTCTGTTTCCGTAACGAAGGGAAAAGAAAAGGAAAAGGAAAAACTGGTAAAACTCTCTCATTCGAAACGACCACACATATGACTTTTCATCGAT